GTAATTTCAAATAAATGGGAAATATTATTACAGTTAATCACTAGTGCAGACTCTGATTAATATGGTTGATTATCTGTTTATTTAATAAATGACTTATCAGCTGCACTGGTCATGTAAAGTTTATGGCAGGGTGATCTGCGAATGATGCGTTAGAAAAAATATGGAAGGAACTGGCCATGGCCACTTCCAGGTAACATAACAGCGTTTGCCTGCAATGACAAACAAAAACAACGTAATCCTCAATCCAAACAGCCAGTCTTTGGCTCATGTTACAACTCCATGACCTCCCAAATATGCAGAAGTGTTAACCACTTCACCATTAAGTTTGGTGAGTAACGCTACATGAATGAGTGAATCTGGAATTATTTAATGACACTTTCTCAACTGCATAGTGATCAAACAGAAACAATGTGCAAGAAAGTAGTCATGACTTATTCTGAGATACTATTCCAGTACTTGCTTGGAGGGACTGACTTAAACCATAATAAACCGCGGCCAGGACAGACTATCTCTGGACTCGGATTCAAAACTGGACACGCATTAAAGATTTAAGTAATAAAGTGTAACGGCTTATACACTTGTGATTTATGTTACAGAAACGCTACGCTTGTATCCTCCTGTTGTGACGATAGACAGAAAATGCGTAAAGACATACACATTGCCTACTGAGCCAACTTATACCCTGAAGCCTGGAGATGGGGTCTGGATACCTATTTATGCCCTACATCATGACCCAGACTACTTCCCTGACCCTGAGAAATTTGATCCTGAAAGGTTTAGCGATGAGAATAAACAAAGCATTAAAAACTTCACATCCCTGCCATTTGGGTCTGGCCCAAGGAACTGTATTGGTAAGTACAATAATCACAATGACAACTTCTTCTGTCAGTATTTCATGTATAATGTAAATAGCCAGTTATTGGGCCAAGATTCAAACTCTGGACCTTCCATAATTATAATCATTATACTGTAACATTTAACCTTCTATGGGTATATCGGATTAATGGAATGTGAGGAACAGTTGGCATGGTTACTGAAATATACAGAAACATGGACAGACTGAGGAAAAGTACAAAACTCCCAGTTATTCCATTTCTTAGTTCAAGATACCTACACAGTAGAATCAGTAATGATGAAATCTCTCTTCATAAAAGATATCATCCCACTGTATCAATTTTGGTGAACCTGCGAATATTAATTTTTGTTTCGACAGCAGGTCTTTTACAGTTAATACTCAACATTCTGCCCCACTACCTTCAGGTAACAATATCATCTTATCGTGTTCCAGGGAGCCGATTTGCACTTATGGAATCCAAAATAGCATTGGTCCATATATTGTCCCGCTTCAATCTGACAGTGGTCTCCAAGACACCCATACCAATACAAATAACCAAGAATGGATTCAATATGACGGTGGACAGGGGATTCTGGCTGGGTCTTGAGCTAAGAGTCAAGAACTAAGACAGCGACAGAAAACCAATCAAATGTATGAACAATAATAATTTTCTATTTACATGTTATCATAGAAAGTCATGAATCAATAATTCTGACACCATGCATGTAGTTAAATCCAGAAATCAGGAATTAACCATATTTCTTTATTAATTCTTATGCTACTTCATGTATATATGATTTAACTACCTCATCATATTTTTATCTGATGAGAGTTCCTTACTTATGTTTCATACTTAACATCCTGAATACCAACCTTGTAAGCCCATAATTTACTTCATTTAATCAGTAAGACTGGATCATAGATATGTCTGTTATACATATCACAAAAGATTAGAAAATCTAATCCATCTGCTGATCAACTACCAATACTGGTACTGAGTAGATATATTTTAATGTATTTTTAAAACCTGTAGTATTTCTTATGAAACATCCAATACTTAATATGTTATATGGAATGGACATTAAATATAAATTTTCCTTTGTGCCGAAAAACCTTGGAAAGTTCAGAACAGTGTGCTTGTTGTTGTGGCTTATGTCATCTCCCTTCACCTTTCTCCAGTAAGGAGATGACAATATCAGCTGAATTACCAGACTGTACTCACACTACACCATAAGACAGTTTTACTATGCACTCCTAAAATATTATGCTCATTATTACACAATATTGTTTGTTTCCTTCCCACTGTGATCAACTTTTACACATTAATTCACCATGTGCTGAATCATTAAGTCACATTAATTATGGCAACAATGTAGCTGCAGAGTGAAGATCAGCAAATGGCAGAGCATGTTTCTCAGCAAATGGTGAAGAAACTATTCTAATATAGGTGTGGAAGTGGAATCTCCATAAGTCAAATAGTTTCCAGGGTTTTTAAATGTTACCCACACTATAGTAATATAATTTTCTTTGTGGTATAACTTACTGCATAATAAGTGCATTAGAAAGTAATACAATATCCTACAATTAAATGAGTTCTCAGTGCTAACATACTTTTAATGGTCAGTTTTGTCACAGGAATTTGTATTATAATCAAAGAATATGTCAAATATATCAATATATTTTGAAGTAAAATTAATTTACTTAATTACCACATTTAACATAATGGAAGGGCAATATTAAGCTGCAAGAATCATGATGATTTGGACATTAAATTCTTGAAATGGAATAATTTGGAAGACCAGGATCAAAACAAGTTTCACAAAAAATCCGTCAACTACAGTACAAATTTAATTATGTGGAGGTACACATGGCACGATAATTACTTACTTTTATCATATCCATATTCCAGCTGAGAATGAACATCCTTCCCACTCCACCACTAATTCCGTTGCAGACCACATACACGGGAACCACAAAAGATTCTCCTCATCTCACACGTAGAAGCATGTAAACTACATCGTAGGAAGTCCTGGTAGACATTGAGATGTTTCTTGCCTTCACACTCAAGTTCAGAAACATCCACGACCATGACCTATATACAGATTCTAATGAAACAAAGGCACAGACACTATTTCCAGCGAATATTCCTCCGAATCACATGCTATACAACAGCTGTCACTTACGATCAATGAATATGATAAGCATGGATCTGCTAAATAAAGATGTACAATTCAATGAAATAGATCGGCACAAAGACTCATGCGTATTGTGCTGCCATCTCCAAATTATAGGCACATAAACAACATTGAGGAAGAAGATGGACGCAGTAGCACAGTCGGTAAGAAAGTTTACTGTATCAGCAAAGTCCTACATTCTACAATACATACCACTTACACTTTAATCTACATAAGACAGTGTCTTTTAGTCACTCAATGCATAAAATGAAAATGTTTCTGATATTAAATAATATTCATATATTTTACACATCTTGAACCACGTCTATTTAAGAAATATATTTATCACTCCTTTTTTCTAACTGAATCACCCAACTCGACGAGTTGAACAGAATCCTCCCTAAGCAACTGCAAGTTATTCTGATACTTGATGTTCTCACGATGGTGAATATGCTTAATGTGGTCTCACAGGCTGTGACGCAGTGTGGCCTTGTAGATGGTTACCAGTGATTCGAAAGAACATACTGTCTCCATCTACATGGTGAGGGGTCACAATCCAGAATACAACAGTGGTTTCAGCCTGTACAATGTAGTTTCTACATTTCTCTGAAACCTTATTAACCACTTACAAACCACATGGCCATGTCGATAATATTAATATTATCCTCCCACCTTCATTTTTGGCTCCTTCCTCAATTTAATCGACGTCGTCGTTTTATTGCATTCTTTTCCAGAACTCAACTCCTCGGAGCGCTGCGTCCTTGTTTCTTTCTGATTGTGATTATTGCTCGAAAGCCTGTAGCAACTTCATGGCTTTCTGAGCAACAATCAAAAACATAAAGAACAAGCCTTCCATTTCGAGCTGGATCAGATGGACCACGAAGATCGGCGGCATCAAGCAGACAGCAGTCTTCTGACGTCTGGAGGACCTCGCTGCATCGAACTCGGACGGGCAATTCTAGACAGAAGAAAGGCCGTTGATATGGCTGGCTGCTATGGCACGTATTGTCACAGACAATACTTGTTTCGCGTGTTTTAGCACGAAATAAATAATTCTGGGACGTAATGGAGACATCACGTCCAGATGACCTGTCATTCTGTCCGGATATTTTACTTCCGAAATCTGACACACAACCTACAGTAAAATGTGTAGAGTGAATTTCACTTTGGTGCATAATGGCCCGCTGTAAGATCAAATCCTCTGTCATATCTCTTAGAAATCGTACAAAAAAGGAAGGCTTGCTTATAGCATAAAGAGTCACTAATATCTGCAACTCAACATGTATATTAATACAATTGGAGAACGTACCATCTATTAATTTTTTCAAATAATATAATTTATGGCACAAAGAGTATTTAAGCCAGCATTGAGAGATTTTATTTTATTCCAGTCCTACCCTGTAAAGACTTTACTTCAATTGAAAATTATTAAATACTTTAAATATTCATGCATATAACTTAAACGATTATTTAATTATATTCGTATCGGTATTTTATTTGTACGAAATGTTGGAATTAATATTATGACAGGTGCTTCAAGCTGGATTGAATTTCAGCCGACTAGGGAAGATGCACACGCAAGAACGTTCGAATCCTGTCGGGGGTAGAAATTTATTTCCACAGTCTTCGTGTTTACGGACGTGGGTCCACGACAGTGTACCCCTAGATAACATACAAACACCAGAATTTTGGGGTGTTGTTCCTAGTTTTACTCAGTTCCTCCAGCCGAATGCCATAACAGTCCCTTGAATTACGATACTTTCTTCCACATACTTTTCAATTAATTATTCATTAATGATCTTATATAATCTGAGCGTTGTTAAATAAATTGTACGTGAATAAACTGAATTTATTAGTAATATTTCAGGTTTTCACGGCGGTGAATATGGAGACTGTCTGTCTTTTGGAATGTTGCGCCGTGTAGTTTCTGAGATTGAAATTTGCACGAGACTACATGGCAGTATCCCAGGGGACAGTCGTCTCCAGACGCTGTTAGGATCGCGTCTGCTCTTCTCCTCCTAGTGCCCTGAAGCAGTTCACTCACACGACATTTATTTAAAATCAAAAAAATTCATTAAATTGACTCGCGTGTTTCAAATCCAAGGAGATGGCAGGGCTGGTTTCCAGCCTCTAACCAATGTTTGTATGGAAGATTACCTGAGCCACTGGACATGCTGTTGGTGAAATTGCGTAATGTTTACTTTCTATTAATAATAGTCTACATCAGCAAGAGAATGTGCTAGTAGCATGTCTACACACACAGACTGATACAGGGAAGACACCCACTGTCACAGTTAGGCGTCACTATCAGACTTGAAAGGTTACACTAAACGTTATCCTCATGTTCAGAGGTTTGAATCTTGGTTCGGGAATCATCTATCCAGACTGATCATCATCACACGGTTTTCAAGGAACTAGGCGATTTGTTCAATCGTTTAGGCTTCAATCGTCCAGACTCTCTGAAGTTCGTCTTCGATGCGTTAATGTTGTAATTTTTAATAATTCGATATATCTGCCTTTTTTGCATTCTGCCAACACGATTAATCCAATTATGCTTACTTTATATTTAAAATCAATGTCCAATAAGGGGTTTGTCTTTAATTCTTTCGATACGTCTTCGTTCTTTTTTGTGGTTTATTCAACGAAGGTGTCAGGAGCTCAGAATTTTGTCCATAACGACGGACGACAAGTTTATTAAGAATTATGATTTAGAAGGGACATGAAAGGGATATGCATGTAAAGATAAAATGTTACTTTCAAGTTTCTATAATCATCAGAAGCTATATACAATATTAAAAGAACGTTCTCCAGAACGGAGAAGGATTTTTTTAGTTTCCAGCTTCAGATCGCGTCTCCACCATGTATGTAGACTGATAAAAAAAGGGAAGTCTGCAACCCCTAGCAATGCTTCACATCCCCACCGTCCTACGTGTACACAACATCCCTAAAAAGCAAACCCCCATTCACCCCAATGCTTATTTCCTCATCCTATTTTATTTCTTCCCCATTAGAAAGGGTACCAGATGCTGGATCCGTTTGGACCCCGTTTTCTAAACTTCCCAAATTCGCTTCACTTCCTCTTTTTTTTATAGTTTAAAACAACTGAGCGTATTCGTAGAGTCCAGGTGGGAGCTAGCTTCTCTTTGCCATTCACAGAGGTGTATAACAAAGATTCCAATCAGATATATAAAATGGGTTATGTGAATCCAAAGCCCTTACAGTTCAAATTTTTTATAAGTAGAGTTAAGGTCACACCTGCCTAAGGTATTAAATTCCACCCCCCTCCCCTGCTCCATCGAATTCACCCCTTGCTAGACCCGGCGACAATTTTCCTTGCCACCCTTTTCACAGAGGATCACAACTGGTAGGACACATTGTCTCCTCTTTTGAGTGGAATCATCAGTCCCAGTTTTCATTCCGTTACGCCACGTCGAATATGGCGTTAACCGTTCCCATTATTTTTAGCGACGCTATCGGCGAATATTGAACCATTTTGTTTAAGTTTCTGCAATGTGATTTGAAGCTTTTATGCCCCGATGACATTCTCCGACTTGTAGAAACATTTCGTGAGTAGCTTTAACAACCACAGTTCCACAGAACGGAGAGAATTGTAAAGATCTGCGACCTTCAGTAGCTTTAACTACCATGATTCCACAGAATGGAGAGAATTGTAAAGATCTGCGACCTTTCTATATCGTAATTGGGTCGTATCGATTTACCACAATAGGATTAAATAGTAATAGAAATTGTAAGCTTATCACCTACTTTCCGAAGCATTAACAATAGCCTAATTTTACAGACTCTTCGCTGTGGATGTCACATATAATCTTTTCCTTTTTGGGCAGAGCTTTAATTGCAAAAATATGACAAAGAGCTCAGATATAATCTGGTCCTTAGAGAAGCTGTGAGCGTATCACAAAAACAAGTGCTCGACTCTTTGCTAGCTCCATTTAAAACATTAATAAATTGTGCTATACGCTATTTATTTACAATAATTTAAATTCTAAATGTGTTATTAGAAAGGATACGACCCATTTAATTGCTATATGTTATACTACGTTTGGAGAAGAATGAGCTTCATTTGTACATACAGTGTAGTATTTGAGTCGTCTATTTTCACAGGATTACAATGCGACAGTTAAATAGTTCAAATGGTAAAAACAGGAAAGGAGCTTAGAATTTTGATTATAAAGCGTTCTGGGGGAAAAAAAATGCTCAAAAGATTAAACAGTCGAATTGCAAAAGTGATGGTTAATTTAATCCCTGACTAAAGTGCTTGTTAAAATTAATTAATGCTAATATAATTTATGTGTTAATACGTATATGCATAATAGGAGACTCACATTTCAAGTTTAGTTTATTTCCTACATCGAAATCAAAACAGAAACGTAACACAGCAAAGCGGTTCTTAAAATAGAACTAGCTCAAATCGAATTTGTTTTATAATTTTTATATAGGTGTGTCATGCCAAATTTAAAAGAAATCGGTCTGGTAGTTTGAGTCCTGTTATTTGAGACCATGAAGACGGACAGGCTAAACGGATGTAGGCAGTACATTTTCATAATCATCTACACAAACGCATTATTTAAAAACATGACGTATGTGCGGGCAGAAAACAATTTACAAAGATAATGTGGATATTATTAAAATCATAAACATCTTGAAATGAATCAGAGCAAAGACTTCAACTTAATTTAAACAAAAATACCAACCATACTGTTGAAAAAATCTGTGATTTTTATCCGAAGTTGGGACAGGTCATTCTATGTAGAACGTAGCCTCACCGAATAGATTTCTCGGTGTCCTACATCCACAGATATTAGTTCCATATTTTACTCATCGATACCACGACATTTAAACATGTCGGTAGTTTTGTCGAAGTCAGCATGTCCGGTGCCAGGACCACTGGAACATAACCGATTAACAGACATCCTTCCACACGGCCTGGAACAAAAAGCAAAGTCATTAGCACAGACATAAGTGTGTTAAGTGTTAACCTTATCGCAGGGACCTTTTTAATGATGAGATTTCAGGTTCTCCACGGAGCCGAGTATGAATATGGCCGTCTTCTCGGATGCCGCGACGTATGATACATCAAGGACCTCTAAAACGTTGGTAAATTTCTACCAGACTACACGGCGCTATAACCCAGAAAACAGTCATCAAGAAATCATGTTTAGGAAGTTGTTGGCAGGGGCTACTGTGTCGGAGGTCAAAGTTCACTGACATCAGATAACTCTGACGTCAATGGCAAATATCAAATTATAGTTAACGATCCAGAATTGTAACACTATGCATATATTTTGTAACGTATTAACACGTGACTGTGTGATCATTTTTATAGCAACTTTCATAAGTATGATAGCAATTCCTTTATTTTTTTTCTGAATAACACTAACAAAGTTGGCTGTCAAATGACTGGTCGCCCACCTTCCTACGCGTTTCCGTTCATTCGCTATTTCGATTACCGGAAAAATGGTTACACTGTTAGATACAGAGACTGTACCTGCCACTGTGCTCCTGGATTTTGTCCTTTGTAGACCTTTATATTTCTAAATGACTGTGACAGTGTATTATGCGGATGATGAATGCCACAGTATGTTTACTGTAACATGAAATGTTTCGCTGACGGAATTACCTTTGCAGTGAACACAGTAAAAATAAAAAGCCGACTGCAGTTACGGTTCGATCAAAGGTGCGTGTGGCCTTGGACCACAGGAGTCACGGGTTAGAATCCAGCTTGAGGAACACATCACATCCGTGTTATCCTGTATTACATTGTCTTATATAGGTAGATGTTCTACGATGGGTAAATCCTCCGTCCAAGGCGTCGTAACAAATACCTAAGGATTTACAGCTTCAACATTATTTTTGAATATATATTAAGTATATATTAAATCTTGTCCGTCTAATCACAATAATTCTTATTAAATATTAAAATATTACAATAATTAACATTTAAAATATTTAAAATATTAAATGATGTTCTTTATCAAAATATTCGATTTTACATTAGACCATCATTTTTCATGTTTCACGACATGTTTCAGTTCCTAATTGTAATATTTTAATATTTAATAAGAATTATTGTGATTAGACGGACAAGATTTAATATATACTTATTATATCACAATATGACGCAACTTTACCATCTTATTATTTTTGAACTGTAACTTACATATCCTTTATAAGTCATTATTAATTGTCGTATCATTCTACGTTTGTTTTGGGCGTTTTTAAATGAAAAACAAAATAATTAACAGAATTTGAAAGATTTGATTTTGGCATATGTAATCTACTTTATGGTAAGATTTGACTTTTCACGGCGGTGATTGCAGAGATGGCTGTCTTCTGCGTGTAGTCTGGTAGAAATTCCAGGGGACCTTGCCCCCTCTCACCAGGACGATGAATGATGGAGGCAGCATGGACTTCTAAAATGTTGGTAAACTTGTACCAGACTACACGGCGCTGCATCCCAGAAGACAGTCATCTATTTTATCGCGTTATTCCGCTAATCAAAACTTGACCGCGGCCGAGATTCGAAACTAGCGCCTCCCAGATCACTACTTTTGGATTCACTATCGTAAATTCACCAGATTCTTACGCTCTCTTCAGGTTACTACACGCAGTAAAAAATGCGAATTGGTGAATATTTATAGCCACAGCCACTTATAGGACACGGTGGTCGATTCCGGAACATTTAAAAACGTGTTTCAATGCAGCCTGACGGTTTGGTTAGGAATGTTACATATTCTTCACTACAATATTGTCGCTATGGGCGGACGTGTGAAGAAAACAACTTTCAGCCCGGAGGAGAGTGCTGCGCGGGTAGCCTGAGTCATTTGTCTTCGGCGTTTGACAGCCGATGCTCAACGATCCTGACACCAAGATTTATGACGTGCCCACAGCCGGGGCAAGCTACATCGGGTTGGTGTAATGCTGTTTGCATACAGTGCCGGTAATGTCTCACAGCTGTGAAACACGGGCCACCTGTGTGATTGTCTGATTATTATCACTGGAATAAAGTTTTCTGAGTCGTTTGCTGGATTGCTCTGTGGATCGTTTGCTTAATAAATTGAAGAAGCTACATTGAAAATAAACAGGACTTTGCGAACGTTTGCCTCCATAATCAGGTGATGATGGAGGCAGCAAGGACCTCTGAAACGTTGGTAAACTTCTGCCGGACTACACGGAGGTACAACCCAGAAGACAGCCATCTTCTTAATCACCGCCGTGAGAACCTGAAATCTTACTTGACAAATAATGTGTCTTAATAATAAAAGCATGAGTTACAGCTGAAGTTAATCTGCTAGCTTACGACAGGAGCCAACTGCTGTTTCTGTGATAACGATTATGAACATTTTGGGGCCATAATAACTAATACTCAGTTCGCTAAACTTCTGAAGGGGTGAGACATTACAGCACATTTTAACTGTAACACTTGAGTCGTTACATAAATACGCATAAACTATTTCCTTGAACAGAATTAAACACCTGATCTCCATAATGGTGAAGTGCTGTGTTTTCTTTGTAGTACAGAATTTTGAAATGTTATTTAATACAGCTTTAACTTCAAAGGGTCTGAAGCATTTTGTAAATTCTTCGAGCCACAGACTAATTCGTGTTATAGCTTCCTCGGCTTTTGAAGTTATCTAAATCTTATTCAGTGTATGGGATCCCATAGAAGAATGATCAGGATAATAGACATCGAGAATAGTTCGACTGTCGATCAGAATGTGTAGGTGTCACGTATCGAGATGTTTCTAGACCGTGCGGTCACCGGGATTGGAATAATTTACACACATTTCATTCTTTGGGTCGCCCTGTGCCCGGGAGCCATGTGTTGGGTATATCTGTGTGGATTTAAAGTAACTATTGATTTGTAGACGCGGTTCTGGGACCGGCTGGACGAACTCCCTGCTACGGGCCGATTCAACTGATTAAGCAACACAGCGTCATTACGGAATGAAATTAATTGTGGTACATGCTCAACTTCTGGCTTCGTAAATAAATCACTACGTGTTAACAAACATGTGAATGATGCACTGTGAAATATGGCCACACTGCGCTGTCTACTTTCCGAACGTGTGGAGTTTTAACAGAAACAATAACAAATGCGAGTGAAAATAAGTTTGATGATGTCAGTGCTATGATATGAAAATTGAAGCCTGATTGGTTGTTTCAAGAGGAAAATAAAAATCTGTGCTTAGAGAACAAATAATAATTCAATGAAATGCTTAATTTTTACGTTGGTGCCAATTACATAATCAAACAAATACAAGAAAATAAAACAATACAAACGTAAAAGGATGGTAATTATGGGTTTTAACAAAAAAAGTCTGTAATAAGGGCCTTGATTCTGTAATAGCCGACCGTTTGGAAACAACACTCAGCTTCCGGGGGTAGATTGTAATAGTTATAGAAATAAAATAATAGTAATATAATTATAATAATAATAAAATATGTAAGAAGGAGTTAGACAGGTTCCCCATGGTAACGAAAATCTTGTTGTTTATTCACTACACTAAACAGAATCGAACTTTGGCACGTTTCTTGCATTCGGTCTTATTTCCACAATTCAACTTCGCATTGAATTCTACCAGGGTCTGCACTAAATTTAAGACAATTCCGATACTATCGATTACAAAGACGGGCAGGGGTCGAGTGAGCAGAGGGTCGAGACACTCAAATCGGATTTAGAGGCGCACATTCCGATCTGCAGACATCCAAACTGAAATTCGTAGAGGATGCAGCTGAGAAAGACAACTAGTGACAGACAGTTCGTGAAGGTGACATAGTCAGCAGGCCAGCTAGCTTATCAGCTGTCTTCAGATTCTTCAGACTGAAAGCTTGCTAGAACAACCCTCTAGGGCGTGAGTTCTCAACCTTTCAAGAACCTGCAGCCAACATTCGTCCTTTCTTCTTTACTTGGGGAACGCCCGATTACAAATAAGGAATGTAGGATTTGGGGTTTTCACGGCAGTGAGTTTGAATATGGCTGTCTTCTGCCCTGATGAAGGAGGGACCAAGGACCTCTGAAACGTAAGTAAACTTCTGCCAGACTATACGGCGCAACAGCCCAGAACACAGACATCTTCAATACACATTCCCATCTCAGAAGTTATCACTCCTAATGGTTTAGAATTCAAATACACGGTGTTCTTCCCAGCAACATGCTGTTCATACCGAGTTTAATGAAAATCTGTCATTTGGATAAAAGGTACAGAGGCATAATGGTATCATACTCCTATACTGGCACAGAAAATATCGATTTTTTTTGTAACAAAATTTACGCTGCTAACATTTTAAATTGTTAGCATAATAAATAAATTACGTGCAGTAATTTGAATAGACCTTCTGATGGTCACATAGAAACCGAAACATGTCGACGAAACAAGCGGCGGTACATCACGAAAATATTATAAGTAATAAATTAAAAGTACACTAAAAAGCTTTTCTGCATCTGCAGAAGTTCCTATTTTCGTTTGGATCATTTCTAGACCCACGATAAATGGAAATACACGTAAGGCCCATGACATGTCGCTGGCGATTGTAAACTGTACGTGTTTAAGTTAGGCTAACGCAAGACCTAATTAATATTATGCAAATTAACAGGCAGGCAGCTCGAGTTTCACACTTACTAGCATGCATTTACCCAAACAGAACGCACGCAAATTAGTCTTTATCTGTTTCATGTTACAGAACACAATTTGGCCTGAATTCAAAGCCACATTCAACTCCAGCTCCCTGTACTAAAATTTAGGGTACACGGACCTAGTTTACTCACATCAAGAGCTCTGAATTTCACTCGGTAGTGACAAGAGTAATTACAAATGACAGGAATAATGAATTTGGAAGGATCGAGAGAAAAAAAAGCTGGTGGCCTAACCAAGAACTGTGCTTCGTGTTAAATCGAGAGACGCCTGAGTCCGCTGCAGCCTTAG